GGTTGTTTACGTTATTCTCCGATGGTTAGGCACCAAGCCTATAACAGTTAGGAGACCTGTGAAATGACTTATATCGTTTCCATTTAATTTGAGAAGCTTCTTATCTTTTTCTCGAAGGTTTTATAAACTTTCCGGCTTCTTTTGGTTTGTGTTTTTTTTTTCAATAGGAATCATTTTGTTCATTTTTCAATTTCTGATTTCTTTCTTTGAGCTTTAGTGATGCCAGTGGACGTTAGGGTCTGTGAAAGGAGATTTGGCTCGCTTTTTTGTAAAGAGAAATCAACCAGTTCATTACCTTTGATACACATAAATTGTTGTACACTACGATTCGTTAGAGTCATGGTGAAAGTTCATTTTTGGCAATAAATATTTGTGGTTCTAGGCCGGTAGTTTATAATTAATTAGCAATTAAATTAATTGGCTGCTGGTGAGAACTATCAGCTACTTTAATTAGTTAAAGCAAATAAATTCTGTTGCGGATTGAGTTCAAAATGCCAGTTTGCCTGGTCGAACAATCCAAGTTTACGAACTTAAGTTGGACAGCGGCAAATTTATGGGCTACTTTTGTTTCGAGAAACTTGTTGAATTTTACTCGGATTATAAATCATTCTTGGCTCGACTTCAAAGATGACAGCCCAGTGTTAAACGGGAAAAAATTCAATTTCGCCTTTTATTAATGAAATACTTTTGCCTGGTTTGGTTTTATAAACATTTTCGGACAAAATTTTACCGATAACAACGTACACTGAAAAAAATATAAGTAATATAAATATAATAATAATAACAAATATTATAATAATTATAAACATGTGTTTTATTAAATTTATTAATATTTACAAAAGTTAGTGTAAATTCACTATAATAAAATGTTTTAATTTGTTGTTACTCTATCGTAATATTACAAGAAGTTGGCGATTTTAAAAGATAAATTTACAATGAATAAGTAAATTTACTATGAAATACACACATTTTTTAAACAAATTCACAGAAAATATTGGTGAATATAACGATATATATTACAAATTTACATACATGCCACAAATTAGCCATACAGCGATTTTATAAACGAATTTTAAAATAAAGAACGGATGGTAAATTTACTACAATAATCTGCGGCAAGAAATAACCAACAATATTATTATTAAATTCAGAAATTAATTCAGTGTGGAACCAAATAATGTCTAAATCAGTTTAACCCTCATATACGTAGGCTACATTTTAAGCCAAAGGTCATTATAAAAGTTACTGTTAAATGTTATCGTTTAGTGGCAGGACAGATACAGCGGGCCTTAGGTTTTAGGATTATGGCCTAGGGCCACATCCTCTTCAATTCAATTATGAGAAATTAATTAAAACCATTAAGGGATTTGTGTGGGATAACCGCATCAATCGACTTAACAACAACCTCCATTTGTAAAACCAAACGCCGTACTTGACTAATAAGCTCATTAACCGACTTGAAGTTAGGAGTACATCAAAATTTAACCGGAACAAAAATATATTTTTTAATCTGTAATTCAATTAAACACAAAGATATTTAGTACTCGTTCAGCTGTCTTATTCTTGTAATGGTTTTTAGCTTCTTTTATTCCGGAAAGAAAATAAATTGACTTTCTTAATGATTCTATGAATGAAAGATGGCGGAACGTTGATGGGCCTGCCTCTCTTGACCCAGAAAAATGCTCGAAAATTGAACGAAATAACAAGAAATCACATATACTGAAATTGGAAATTTCAATAAATCGTCTGAGATTTTCTTCTAAGCCTTCAATTTTCCACAACTTTACGGACGAATGACTTACTGACAGAGGTAATAGGAAAAGTATAGTTCATTGACGAAATGCTATAAAGAAATATTATATTTCGTATCCCTTAATATTAGTCTTTAACCAAAAAAAATATCAAAAACAGTGATACTAGATTATTTTAGAACTATTTGGTTCATTTGAAATGATTTGAAAAGAATAATAAAAGAAGTATTGTTGAAATTTGATTAGAAAAGTTTACTAAGTAGCGGAAGTACAACATTGTGGTAATTTAAGTAAGATGATTATTGGAAATTTCAATAAATCGTCTGAGATTTTCTTCTATGCCTTCAATTTTCCACAACTTTACGGACGAATGACTTACTGACAGAGGTAATAGGAAAAGTATAGTTCATTGACAAAATGCTATAAAGAAATATTATATTTCGTATCCCTTTAGAATATTAGTCTTTAACAAAAAAAAAATTATCTAAAACTGTGATACTAAATTATTTTAGAACTATTTGCTTCATTTTAAAGGATTTCAAAAAAATAATAAAAGAAGTATTATTGAAATTTGATTAGAAAAGTTTACTAAGTAGCGGAAGTACAACATTATGGTGCCTAATTTAAATAAGATGACTATTGGAAATTTCAATAAATCGTCTGAGATTTTCTTCTAAGCCTTCAATTTTCCACAACTTTACGGACGAATGACTTACTGACAGAGGTAATAGGAAAAGTATAGTTCATTGACGAAATGCTATAACGAAATATTATATTTCGTATCCCTTTAGAATATTAGTCTTTAACCAAAAAAATTATCAAAAACAGTGGTACTAAAATAGTTTAGAACTATTTGCATCATTTTAAATGATTTGAAAAGAATAATAAAAGAAGTATTATTGAAATTTGATTAGAAAAGTTTACTAAGTAGCGGAAGTACAATATTATGGTAATTTAAGTAAGATGATTATTGGAAATTTCAATAAATCGTTTGAGATTTTCTTCTTAGCCTTCAATTTTCCACAACTTTACGGACGAATGACTTACTGACAGAGGTAATAGGAAAAGTATAGTTCATTGACGAAATGCTATAAAGAAATATTATATTTCGTATCTCTTTAGAGTATTAGTTTTTAGCCAAAAAAATTTATCAAAAACAGTGATACTAAATTATTTTAGAACTATTTGCATCATTTTAAATGATTTGAAAAGAATAATAAAAGAAGTATTATTGAAATTTGATTAGAAAAGTTTACTAAGTAGCGGAAGTACAACATTATGGTACCTAATTTAAATAAGATGACTATTGGAAATTTCAATAAATCGTCTGAGATTTTCTTCTAAGCCTTCAATTTTCCACAACTTTACGGACGAATGACTTACTGACAGAGGTAATAGGAAAAGTATAGTTCATTGACGAAATGCTATAAAGAAATATTATATTTCGTATCTCTTTAGAATATTAGTTTTTAACCAAAAAAATTTATCAAAAACAGTGATACTAAATTATTTTAGAACTATTTGCATCATTTTAAATGATTTGAAAAGAATAATAAAAGAAGTATTATTGAAATTTGATTAGAAAAGTTTACTAAGTAGCGGAAGTACAACATTATGGTAATTTATGTAAGATGATTAATGCAGAGTGCAGTAACTTAGTTACCCAAACTTGTTAGAGTTTAATTTCAAGAGTTTTCAGACTCCCTTAAAACATCCGAAATATTATCGGGTCTTTGAATTTTAAATGCTCAATTACATGCCGAATGAATTACATTTTTTTAAATCGTTTCTAAACAATACTGATAAGTCTGTTAAATTCGTTTCAAGAATCTCGGAATAAATTTCTAACGAAACTAAAATGCATTTTGGCAAAGAACAAATATAATTGGAAATGATTTCTTAAAACCACTTAGCGCTGTTTATTTTTGTAGTTTTGAAATTGTAATTAAATATGAAATAACTTCTTTGGGTAAAGAAACAGTAGTTGGATTCTTATTTGCTATTCATTCCGCAGTTGTGCTGCACCGCATTTGCATTCCTGGAAATTATGAGCGCAGAGTCTCTTTAATTAATTTTGGAGAAAGATTTATATTATCTGGATTTAACATATTAAGACATTTCTCTCCTGTCTCACTTTGTTTATTTTTGTTCGAGAATCTTTTGTAGTAAAAAAATAACGTTGCAGTAAAATGTTACGAACTTACTTATTGCCGAGGGGAAAACAAAGAAATAAAAGACAATTTATATAAGTTCTCCTTCTGTTCTGTTACACTTAAATCTAATTTATTTGAGGCGGAAATTTTTCTGTAATAAGAACAATAACATAAAAATAAAACTCATATATTTTTTTTGTGTAATGAATCAGTATTGAGCCATAAAATACGAAAAAATAATTAGCAGTAATTCCAGCTTAAAAGAAAAATGTATTTGAACTGTTATTTTTGAAAGTGGTATATTTCCAGTTTTTTAAAAAATGAGTTAATGGTAATACTATTAAGACACATATACTTATAATCAGACATTCAATGTAGTACGATTTTTTATGAAGCCAACAAAAGATTTTTGACTATAAAATGTTATCACAAAAATATTTTTTTTGAAAGTGGGAATAAGTCCATTCCTAATAATTATAATTAAGACAATTTTTTTGTTGCAATTATTATTTATTATTGTTACTTCAGTATACAAGTAGTTTTGAGTTTAATCATCTGCATGGTTAGCGAAACGCGCGTCCAGTGTAAAAGTAAAAGTGTTTTGGTGTATTGTGGTGATTTAGTGTTTTATTTTGCTGTGTAACACCAAAGGTTCCAACCCCGACTGTAATCTTAAATATCTCGATACATGGAAAAATGGACTTATACCACTTTCAAAAATAACAGCTCATTTAATAGTTCTAATTAACAATAAAGAAGAAAAATACAGAAAAAAAAACAAAACAAAAACTCGAGAAAACATTTAATTCCGCACAATCAAATAAGAAAAAATAAGAAAATAATTTGGAGTATAAGAAAAACAGTTCCCGAGGTAAAATAGAGGTCGGTAAAAAACGTAATAACACTTAAGAAAATACAGATAATTGCGGGCCAGAATCAACGTTTTCCTTCAGCCTTTTTCCCATAGGCGTCCCTACATGCCCCATTGTACACAGTCACGTAACAAAAAAGAAATTTTAAACTCTCATTTGAATAGGTGTTCAAATTAATAACATATTTAATTTTTTCCCTTGACTAATAAAACTGATTTACTTACCCTCCGATGCTTCTTGACGTAGCATAAAAAGGTTGCCAAATATTTTCGGCAAAAGGATCGGGATACATCGGCAATTCGTTTGTTAATTCTGCCGCCCTTGATTGTCGTTTTGAAAATCTGAAAGTGAAATTTTAATTAAGGCTCAACCCTAAATTCAAGAAGTTTTTAATTATAGCCAAGCAGCCGATTTTAACTTCGCCTTCACGTTGATTTTATTTTAATAACATTATTTTTAATTCGCTCAGTCGTTATATCCTGATTCTTCCGTAACGTGAGTATCCTTTAGTTAAAATATTTCATAGAGTTATCAGTTATATTATCTAAGGAATAAAACAATCAATTTTACGCTATCCTGAACAACTGATTGATTGATATTGATTTTATTCAAGTATAAAAATACGTTTCTCAATTTTTCTTTTCTGGCATTTGGTTCTGTTCTGTGGCGAGAACAAAAAACATTATCGGCATGATTAAATTTCTTTTATTTCCATTCAGATAGTATTTTTTTCAAGAACTAAGATAAATAGATAGAGATAAATGACAAGATAAGTTTCGGCTGTCAATTGCTCTGTAAGCTTCTATTAGTTTTAAATGGAATTGAAGAAATCTAAGTGAAAAAAATCAAATGCATCTTCTATTTTTAGCTCAATATCAAAAATTGAAAGAATGTTAACTGAAATTTTAATATATAATATAATATCGCAAGTCATTTGGCTAAAGACAAAGCTACATTGTTTCTGAAATAATTTTTTGGTTTTTAAAATAATGTTACATTTATAGAAAATATCCTTTATACAGGGTGGTCCGAAGTGTATTCCGGAAACTTTGGCAGTATGTTCTGCAGATAAAAATAAATAGAAAAGTTCCTAAAATGCTTAGTTTTGGAGATGGTGGGTGTACAAGTTTTATTTTTATTTCGATTTTTTCCAAGTAACGTCATATTTGGATTAAAATTGATGTCTAGGAGTTTTTTGACATGAGGAATATGATTTTGATGTCAATATGACTCCTACTTATAGAGGGCACCTCCTACATATTTTTTAAATGCTTTGAAGAGTAATTAGCTTTTTGTGCGTACTTGAATAAAACTACTGGGTAAAAAATATACATTTGCGACATTTTTTACGCAAAAAATGTCTCTTGATAAAAATTGCTACGAGTAATGGTTCTCGAGATATTTGGAACATAAATTCAGGAATCAATACCTGTCATCATTGACATAAATTAAACATATTGACTAAACAGTTATTAGACTGAAATCAAAAATTTGAATTATTTTTGTGCCAAAAGTTCAACAGAAACTGTTTTATCATCATTTTTTCAAAGAAAAATTTATGATTAATTTAAAAAAATAAATAGTTCCCTAATTTATCATTTCAGTCAAATAACTATCTGCTCAGCATGTTTATTTTTTGTCAATAATGACATGTATTAACTAAGAGAAAACGTCTCTTTTACGTAAAAAATCACGGAAATGTATATTTTTTCACTCAGTAGTTTTATACAGATATGAACGAAAAGTTATTACTCTTCAAAACAGTTAAACCGCATGTAGGTGACGCCCCCTACAAATAGAAGTTATATTGACATCAAAATCAAATTTCTCATGTCAAAAAACTTCTAGACGCCAATTTTCATCCAAGTATTGACGCTACTTCAGAAATTATTTAGAAAAAATCGAAATAAAAATGAAACTTCTACACCCTGTATCTCCAGAACTAAGCATTTTAGAACATACATTTATACGAACCTTTTTACTTGTTTTTACCTGCAGAATATGCTGCCAAAGTTTCCGGAATACAGTTCGGTACACCTAGTATATTCACAAGATAGTGAAATCCAAAAAAACTGAAAGGCTTAGCCGTCCAACAATGTTACAGGGAACAGGGTATAACGCTGTTAAGTGCTTAAATTATTTAAGGGAATGGAACATAACGCTATAACTCATATATCCCTTATGCCGAGCTTTATATGCCTTGACGTTTTTTAGTCTGGGCAGCAACACTCTAAATTTCGACAAAAACTGTATGAAAAACTCACTTTTTTTAATTTTAACTAGGAAAATTATGAAATAAGAGTCATTCTGTTAGATTTTATTTCGAACTATAACGCTCTTCAATTAGGATACTTTTCCCTTTAATAAAAACCGTCATTATTTTAATCCAAACAAAGTTTAGATAGCAGGGGCCTGGAAAATGGCCTTAGGACCATTCCGTATATTTCACCGAGGATTAAAAAAGTAATCCCATTATAAAAAATGGCCCATTCACGGCCTTTTACTGCCTCTAAAATCTTCAAATTTGTACTCTTTCACTACCCTCGTAATTTCAAGCCTAAAAGTTGATTTTAGCAAGACTATAATTTAGGTCAATAATAAAAAAACCTTCGGATAACAACGGTATGGTCCATAGAAAAAAAAAGGTAAAGTAGTATAGAGACTTGAAAAACTTAACGAGAAAAGGCACAGTTGTTTCACGTTATCGATTTCTTTACTTGAACGAGCGTTAAGAGGTATCTAATAATGTAATCTTTTTATTTATAGATAACATATAAAATAAACTTTTTAATTATTAAATTCTAACGAATTAAGCACTAATAATATATTTTATAATTTGTAATTGTATGAGACACATTTCTTTAAACACATAACATTTGCTATTCATTCGTACAAAGATTAAAACGGGTTTTAATATATTTATGGAATTTTTGTTATTTTCTATTTCATACTTCGCGCTGAAAGAAAAATTCCTATTAAAAATCTATGAAAATAAAATTTTATGAGAAAATTCTGTCAATAGGAGGAGAGTAAGATTGCATAAGTTCTTTAATAGTTCTGTTCGCTCAGAGAAGAATCGAATACAAAGTTTCCATGGAATTTCTCACTGTCTATGGATTTCTACTGAATCCTTACTTGAATGTAACAAAAAATTGTTACCCATCAAAAATGTAATATTACTCTATATATAGAATTTGATATAAAATGAAATATTTTATAATATATAGCAAAATAGAAAACACATTACCGCCACATTGCTTTAAGTTCCTCGCACGTGGGTTCTGGCTGCACTCCATTTTTTGCAACTTCCGTTGAACTTCTATAACCTTTTGCACCAGGCATTCCATAGACTACAGATACTATTCCGTAGTATATTAGTAAACTAATGAACATCTGTAACAATATATTTTATAGTTAATTATTTCAAACCAGATTACAAGAAGTATTAGTAAGTATAAGCCAAGTAAGTATTTACCACTTTTTGTATAAAACTATTTCTTACACGTAAAAGCTATTTTTTAGGCGTATAAAACTGTTTTTTACGCATAAAACCTATTTTTTAGACGTAAGGAACTATTTGTTTCACGCACAAATACCGCAGGATCGAATAAAAACGGCGTCAGCGATGGCTATGTAATGAAGATCGCTGTCATTTTATATGTAAATTTATATGGGAAATGTCATCGATTGTCATTTCATAGCCATCGCTGACGCCGTTTTTATTCGATCATACGTACTATTTTTACGTATTAAAAACTGTTTGTTACACGTAACTGTTTTTTACACGTAAAAAATATTTTTTTAATTTATTACTTTTAAACATTTCAAACTACACTTTTTCAAACATGTTCTCCAAATCCTTTAATTTAATAGCCGTTAGTAAAAAGTTTCCCATCAAGTGCACATACAATATTTTTCTTTTAGATAATCATTAATATTTATTTCTATTACGTTTAGTGTCATTAGTCCATATCACTATCGCAATATATTTTAAGTAAAGGTTACTATTCTTTTTTTTTTGAAAGTTTACAATATGTTCTATTTCCAGAAAATTCCTGTTCAAAAATAGATTTACTAAAAAGCTAGATATAATAGGCGGCTTTTAGTATGCACGGATATGTAGCTTTACTATTTTTACCAATACCTAATAGATCTATATACCCTGCGTTAGAATGTAACTGACAATGATTTATACCAACACCGAGGTTTCTAGTAGGCGGTGTCGTTTGAAATAAATCTGATACGGATCGAGGTAAAAAGAAAATAAATTTTAATTGTTAGTTTTGTATAACAGCTTCAAAAGTAACCCTATAATATAAGATATATTTTGGGCGAATTTAAAAAAAAAACGGTAAAGTGAGAAAAGAAAAAAAGTATAATATTTCTAAATATAAATGAAAAATGTAAACCTTAAAATTGATAATATACAGTATTCTCGAAGGTAACACTAAATATACGTAACTGCTTCTTGATGTTCACCACCAATTTTGACATCGATCTGTTTAAAGTGACTTGACAGATGTCGCCAAATTTTATCGGCAGTAACTCTGTTCCTTACATAAACTTTATTTTAATATCTTTTCCCTAAAGTTCCTCTGTAATGTTACTTTGGTTTTAATTCTTCTAATACATTTCAAGAATTCTGGTGCGGTAGTAATAAATAAATATATTTTTAAAGATGTTATTTTTAATCTTTCATCTGTTGCCACTATATTAAAATTAGATAAAAATAGTCTTAAAGAAAAGAAAGCTGATATCTGTTTACTTTCATCTGGTTAATACTGGTAAATTCTTACACGGATTGTCTACTTGTTTTTTTATGTCGGCTTTGCTTAAAGAAATTGGCTTTTTTCATCACTTTATGTACTCGAAAAATTACATTAATACGTAATATTGTTTGTTTGTGCTTTGGTAAACCTATTCAATCACTTTCTGTCAATTCTAATATGATTTTCCTTTCCTTATAACGTTATATAATTACCATTTAGAGACAGCAAAGTCGCCAGCGGCAAGTCTGTCAGGGCGCAAGATTGAGGAGGTTGTTTATAGAAGCTTTCAATCATGCATAACAAGATTTTCCCATTTTTCCTGACGGCTCGACTAATTTAATCTGAAGTTTAATTCAATATAGACTTGTTGGCTGATCCTTGAATATATTTTTCAATTCTCTGTTCCAATCCCTGTCATGCTCTTGAGTAATTGAAGCTTTTATTAGAAATTATATTTGATCGTTTTATATCTGGCTTATCGAATAACTCGGCATCTTACAAAAAGACTAGGCATATTATAAAACGCCGGCGTTTTTAACAATAGAAGGATATTTTGCGAAGAGCCTATCTGTTTTCAGTCGCTTTGCAAAATGCCCAATGAAGACTAGTCGGATTGCACAAAACATTTTACACGGGATTAGTGAAACTAACCTAAATTTTATCCAACGACATTTCTTGAACTTCTCTTTCAAAATTGGGAAATAATGGCACAAAAAGTCATAATTCTGAGTAGAGGGAGAAGGGAGTTTTACCATCCCCCTCCCGGCGCAGTTAAGAATAAACGGGTTTAAACAAGAAATAACCGCTTTTGAACTGTTCGTTTTTTGTTCAAACCAGTTTATTTCTATTTTAAAGCGATTGTTTCTTGTTTAAACCTGTTTATTCTTGTTTATTAGCCTATTTTACATGCTCATAGCTGCTGACGTCACATGACGTCACTTCCTGCGCCGGGAGGAAAATGGTGAAACCCCCTTCTCCCTCTACTATTCTATTAAATGGAGTATGGTTAAAGACGATTATTATAGAGATCTAAATTTATTTTATTCTAAAAGATAAAAGTTCCAAAAAAAGAAAGCAAAGTTCCACAAAGAGGCAGCCCTGTACACAGAATCAAATGACAGAGTATAATAATCAAACGCGATATTAATATTAAGGTTTTAATATATTTTGTATTTTTAAAATTCTGTTACTTATAATTGTAATTTATGAAATAGGGTTCAAGTTGTTTTCGTCTAAACAAAATGAAATTTTGACATAAATTATTGTTTTTATATAGGAAAATACGGGGTATTTTTATTAAAGCTTATTCAATATGCTTATGCTCATAAGCTGAGTAAATTATGATCATTTTTTAATCTGCCTGGCCTCGATTTGGCATTTTCTTTTTGCAGAAGTGTACAGAAAATATCGTCATTGTTTAATATGCCTAATTCTGATTAGGCTTTTTGCAAAGTGACTGAAAATAGATAAGCTTCTTGTAAAAATGCTTTCTTTTTTTTAAAAAGCCGGTGTTTTATAATTCGCCTAGATTTCTATGCGCCTGCGACATGATATCTATAACTTTTACCAATATTTATTTTGGAATTATATTATATAAAGCACATTTTAATAACGATATTTTCGCAAAAAGTGTTTTGATCACAAATTATTTGCAGACCTACCTGTTCAAAGAGATAATTACTGGCTTTTTTCCGGTCTCTATCAGTAGTATTAATAACCAAAATTATAAAAAGCCAAATATATATAAAATCTGTTACAAAGGGCCTTTCAAACGCGAAAAACAAGTTAGAGACTCGTGTCAGAATATAGGCTAAAGAAGTAGGAAAAAATATTGGCAATTTTTTTACAGAAGCCTTCTTATTTAGAAGAGCTGAAAAATATGATACTGATATACTTTATACATATTCCTCCGTACTCTCAGACATAATAATACTCTTTCCAAGTGGATTATTAAAAATATTTTATAATATATGGCTATTTATAGCTGTAATACCTTTTGTTTGGAAACTAAGATATAAAATCTTTGTCATATAAGTACATTGAAGTATTATATCGTTTAAACGGTGCCAGTTTAAAAAAATGTACTGTTGTAATACAATAATAGAATATAGATATGAAGTTAATATTAAAATCTGGGTTTACCAATAAAACATATTTAAACCCAAATATGTAAATAATAGTGGGTGCGTCAAAGCTAGGAAACAAAATATAAAATATATTACAAAAATTAATAAAATTAACAAAAATAGTTTAAGTGGTTTCTCATACGCATTAACCGAGATCATGCCAAGAAACATTTAGTGTCATAATGCCAATACAGTCTCTGAAATCTATTAATCTAAAACTAATGTAGTTTTAACCTAATTATCCATGTATAACGCTAAGATAGAATAAACTAACATACCTACGCAGATTCCCTGTTTGATTAAACTCCTGTTAAGTTCATAAATCTATTTCGAAGATATCAAACATCCGGGATAATATTATTGTAACGTGTAGAAATTCGAAATATAATTAAACAAGTTTTTTGTATACATTAATTAACGGTGGTGTTGATGTATTAATTTATGTTATAATTATTAAAATAAATGGAATAATAGGGATATTACAAAATGTGATATTCCCGTTTAATTTAAACATATCTATACGAAAATTTTGGATAAATTCCATTTAACTTGTTCAGTTCAGCTTAATTGGCACAAAGCATCGATGCGTTAAGGTAATTTTAAACATATATATAAAACACAAGGACGATCACCTATTGTGTTTGAGTGGGGATAATTAAATTTCGTAGTACTCGTGGTTTTCCTCTGAACCGCATCTACAATACGCTAAAAACTAAATTATTGGAAAATCAAATAGCGCCACACTGTACTACTATCCAAACTCGTTTAATAATTTCAATTAACCAGGATAGATATTCAATGAAAACAGGAATTTGCGTGGGTGTTATCGTTATAATTCGTTTCCAAATAGCTGAAGTTATTTTGCGGATCGAATTAACGTAATTCTTGGTCTCCTATTCCAAATACACTTTAAATAAATTGATATTAATTAATATATTTAGGTTTTTAACATAAAATCGCTGTTTAAATACTGCACCTTAAAATATGTTTCATGCTCCAAAAAAGTCCTATTGTAAAAAAAATTGTTAAAAATTGTAAAAAAAACGGAGACTAATTGTCAGCAGTGGCTTACTAATAAACAAATTTGCCTAACGGACAAAAAAATGCTTAAATATAATAAACATAACATACGTAAAAGTTAAAATCAAATTAAAAATAACCATACAGAAAGTTTGAAACTTTTTGGTTTTACCTTATTAAGTAATTGTTATCAGGTAGTAATTGTTAATTTTGAAGTTTAACTTGATATATAATGTCATTTTAACAGAACGTCAACGGTTTTTGTAGACGTATCTGTTTAAAAAAACTAAAGTTTTCTCGAATACTTGCATTTAGATATTTTAAATAGTTTCTTCCTTTGCTTTTTTGTATTTTTTTTAGTTTCCCACGACGGAAAGAGATATATTTTCCGAAACGTTTAAGCATTTTTTTATCCGTTAAGCAAATTTGTTTATTAGTAAGCCACTGCTGACAATCAGTCTCTTAGTGTTTACAAAAAATAACTATTTTATATTGTAGATTTCTTACAGTGGCGAAATAGCCTTAGGACTTTTTTGGAGAGATGAATCCGTCACAGAGCTATAGACATTTTTAAAGTTATATCTCGTTGAAAGTTAACATTTGTCAAAAATTACATCAGACCTGATAAGCTAAAGCCGGCACCACACGACGTGGGACTTGGCGAGTTTGGCGCGCGATTTGCCGAGCCACGCGTCGTGGGGAATGAGAGCGCTCGTCGATGCGACGAGCGGCTCGGCTCGGCGCGGTCTTCCGGTCAGTTGTCGGTAAATGTGGCACAAGTCAAATGATGAACATGCAGGCTTGACTTGTCTGAACTTGTTGAATCATTTCCTACCATTCCCACGTAGGCTTGTATTAAACAAAAATATTTTGCAGTCTCAGTAGCGTTCTTCATATCGTCGCAGAATAATCGTTTTTTTGGAACTTTACGAAGGAGAACCAGCAATTTGGAATCCAAAGGACCCAAACCACAAAAATAGAAATATTGTTCATGATAGTTGGAAAATAATTGAAACTAATTTAAGTGTCAAATGCACGGTGGCGGAACTTAAATAGAAGAAAGAAGCATTGTTGGCAACGATGTTGACTGCCACAAACAAATATACACTGCACTGTTTTCACTACTATGCAACTTGACAAGTCCAGTCGACGGTGGCGCGCAAATTTGTACTCGCCACGCACCGCGCCGTGGGAAACAACCACGCTCGCTGACTCGCCACTTGGCGAACTGACTTGCCAAGCCGAAATTCGCCAAGTCCCGCGTCGTGGGATGCCGGCTTAAGACAGAAAGACCATTGAAATAGCATATTGCAAGGTTAATAGGCTGTAAATAGCTGCTATAATTTAGAGCTGATATGTGAGGATTATGTCAATCAAAAGAAGAACCGACGGAACACATTTTAGGTCAGTGTGCTTGTTTGTCTGGCAAATGTGCGAATCTTGGCAAATAGGTAATAATAAAGTACTTAATATTTTTTGTATAACAAATTTTACAAATTTACTTTTTGGTTCATAATTTGTCAGCATATGTTACATTTTTTCTTAAAATATTCACCTTGTCTATAATTATACAATTGAGAGCTTAACAGCATGTTTTTAAAATTAAACAATTTATCTCTAAAAATCTAGGTTAAATATAGTTTTTTTACTACTAGCTCATTTAATTTTTTTAACACAATTTTGATTAAGTTAGGTGGAAAAGTTGGCCATTATTAAATTTTTCGGTCTAAATATATTTTCTTATAGGCCTTTAAATCAATCTCGATAAATCGAATAAGGCGATGAATACTTGATAAGCATTTGAATATACCATCAGATTTAAATTTAAATGACTGAAAACTCAAGCGTACCGCTGGGTATCAGCTGTTCTCGTTTATAAATTTTAAATTAACAAAAGTTTCAATCAAATAAGAAGCCGCGTAGGTGCTATTATTTAGTTTTATTTGCGACTATGTGAATAAATGTATTAATATCCAGTTGTTTGGAGTTAATGGAGTGGAAAGATAGCTTTTATTTTTGATTATATGTGCTCCGAATAACTTTTTGGACTTTTTTTTTTGGAAAATAACAATTCTATGAAAAGAAATTTTAATTAAATATATATGTCTATTTACTTCTCGAAATTTTGCTTTTACCAAATGATTTTTGTAAAAGCAAACACCGCATAAAATGAGCTCAGATAAGAAACCAACATAAAAAGTTATATTTTTCTCTCAAAATTTAATGACGTCGTAAACTGTAGTTCTGCTTTTATGCTGGGTGTAAATTATTTGTATATTAAACACTTCACAATGCGGAATATTTCTGAGGGCGATAATTAAAAAAAAGAGTATTAATATATACATATATATTATACAAGGTATCCCAGAAATAAGTATTATTTTATAATTATTCGTAAGAAGCAAGTATTTTAACTGGCAGTATAGTTCAACCCCAGAAACACGCCCATGAGGTTTTTTTGCGAATTTTTTTTTTGAAAATTCGGAATTTTTTGAAAAAATTTTGGATTTTTGTTTAGTTTTTAGTTAAAAAACATAATTTCTTGATAATATTGCAACATAGGTAGTAGATTAAATTTACAAGAAAGAAAATCCAGAAAAGATCCAGTGGTTCTCAAAATTTGAGCAAAAAATCATTTTTTTTTTGGAATATTTCAAAGAAAAATAACTCCGTTATTTTCGACTTATTTGAAAAACGATAAAGAGAAAATATGTTTCTTTTATCGAGATCTACCACCCTTTAAAATACTTGCACTTATTTCTGGGACACCCTGTATATATATTCTTAAAATATTATTTTTACTAAATTAACTCGACTTACATCGAATATACAGATTTCATCATTTTAGATTTTCATAACATAAAGAGTATCTTAGAGTGAAATAATCTAAATTTCTTGGCAAAAACTTTAAAACTTACATTTAAATCTAAATAATTGTGTCTCAGGGATCACAGATGTAAATTTTAGTCCCGTCATCGTAAATCTTTTTAATTCCTCTTTTGTATAATTACAAGCCTCACATAAATAAGACTATATATACACCCTGAAGGTGGTGCTAAAATAGGTTTTCGGCAGATGCAAATTCAATTTGAATTTCAAATTGCTCTTTCTGTCGGGGAACATAACGATAGAGGACTATTATTAATAGTTGTGACGCTAGATTAATTTTAATAAGGGGCCTTTATAGTTTTTATCACCTTTTTTACCTACCAAATTTTATAATATAATTCAAAGGATGGTTCAAGTATTAATATGAGTTTTTGTACTTTTTGTGTTTTAAGCAGATTAAAAATGTATATAAAATGTTTTTTTTTTTATTTGAAATAATTACAAAATGGATCATACCATAAAAAATACTACAGAATTTAAAAAAGACGCATTTTCTCTTTTTAAACATTATCTATACCTCTTTGACGGATTTATTTCTTCAAACTTAATGTACTGTCAGAAAATCTACAAAATAAAATAGTTAATTTTGGGTGGTATATCTCCTTCCGTCGTCGGAAGCAAAAAAAAACAAAGAACAAATAAAAAAGCTATTTATAATATCTAAATACGATTATTCAAAAACACTTTAGTGTTTTTTTTTTCAACAGATACTCTATAAAAACCGTTGACGTTCTGTTAAAAATCCGACTTTTTTTGACTTTTTTTTTGTTGCTTCCGACGACGGGAAGAGATATACTTCCCGAAAAGTCAACCATTTTTTTGTCCGTTAGGCAAATTTGTTTATTAGTAAATCACTGTTGACAAATTGGTCTTCGTTGGATTAACGCCAGCAGTGTTGACAAAAGCTAACTATTCTTTTTTGTAGGTTTTCTTACAGTACAAGGTGGCGAAATACCCATAGGACTTTTTTGAAGAGATTAAAAACATTTTTTCTATTTTAGAAAAAGAGTATAACAATTTCTAAAAGGTTTTCTTTTGAAAAAAGGCAGTGTCGATGAAAAATTCCAGCGAGTAAGTATTTCCGTAAAGTTCAACAATATTATACTCATAATAATTACGTTAAAATTAATGTATATAATGCAGACATTAAAGCTACGTAATATACAGATTTAATAAGTTCATTAAACCCTGATGCATGTATATAATTTTATATTAAAATTATATAACTACAAGCAAATTTGGAGCTTGCCGTTAATATGATATTATCTTCATTATATATTTAAATAGGCTTAAATAGATCTTCTATAATGTACACATACATATAGTAATACATGCTCTAATGTATAATGACATTTAACGTAAGTAGCACGTATCAAATACAAATATTAATTTATAATGAATTATATTCGCAAAATAATTTCGTTGAATATAATTTAATACTACTAAAGCTCTAATAGTATTACCAAACGGTTTATATATAAAACACAAATGTTTCTAAATATAATTAATGACGAAATATTTTACAATTCAATTTATTATAGTATATCAAGTTTACACTCGTAGAGAAATGCGAACGATCTCGTTCAATTCATAAAATTAGTCCATTCAGAAATCAGCTAAAAAAGGAACTAACTGTTGCTTGTCGCAGCAAATTTATGAATGAAAACGTAAACAAGTCGCAAGCGTAATATTTAAAAGAAAATGATTTCACTTACCATTGTCGACACTTTTCTGGATAAATACTTTGTATACAAATTGAGATTACGGCAAGAAGTACAAGTTTGCAAGTACAAATTTTTTTAAAATTTTTGAATTAATTCAGATAAACTAACATAAACCATGATAGAACTACTAGAAAAAATTAACAATTTTTTTTCAAAGCTTTTTTGATTCGCCTAACTCGAAACAAACTTTCTTGAAAGTTGTGCCGAACTGAACTGAGATGCGTTGCGCTCGCTGGTGAGACGTCAAATGAAGCAACGAGTTGAGGGAAACAGTGTCATCCTCTGGCGAAGGCGGGAAACGTGTGAGCGCTTGACAGTACGTATACACGGGGGGTGACCGTTTGAGCCTGCTCAGTGTTGCCAGACATTTCTAACCAAGTTCTTTCGGCAAACCCGTTCAAAAACCTTTGTATTCCTTCAGAAACCAGCCGAAAAACCTTTCATCTACACCCTACTCCTGTTCACATAATATTCCACATAGGGAGCGTGAGTTTATTGAGGACGCTGAAGTTAATTTTTTGAAATTCAATTTGGCGCAACGGGACGCACTCCATTATATTCAAATCTTGCGTATTGCACGTTAAATTCAATGCGTCGAACGCTTTCCACAACAAACTGCCAGTCGTATGCTCATATATTATGATAGGTTAGGTTGATTGCAATAAATTAAATTGATCAGTGTATTTTTGAGAGTATTTGGAAATATTGTGAGTCTTTAAACTTTAGTAGATTCTAAAAAAATAATTGTTTTAATTTGAACATTTTATTGTTTGTCGTGTATTAACTATATAATTATTTAATTTAATTATTGTCTTTATATGATTGTTATTGCCTGTTAGATACCTTAGTTTTGTGAGAAAATTGGTGACATTACGAAAATCGTCAATTTTTATGGCTATATATGTGTGGAAAAAAGTTAGAAAAATAACAAATTTTCGCTATTTTTAAACTTTTTTAAAGGTATTAGAAAAATAGTAAACATAGTCCTCAAATTATGAAAATATCAACATTTGTAGGAAATTTTATGTAGATTCAGAATATATACATCTTTAAAGGTTTAGATATCTTGGTTTTGTAAGAAAATTATTTTTTTGGGCCCTTGTTTTTCAGTTATTTTTGATGATAGTTAAAACGTCGTACTGTTCTCGTAAAAAGAGAATGGCCTATATTTTCTTGTTCTTCGCCCTTTAGTTAGTAAATAACAGCAATTTTAACAAAATCGGTGACATGACGAATATCGCCAATTTTCATGATGTATAATGTGTATGTAGTCAAAAAAATGCCCATTTTTTGCTATTTCTTACTCACTTTCAAGGCACTCAGAAATATAGTAATCATAGAGATAGAAATTATGAAAATTTCAGCTATTCGAGGTAAATTTGATGTAGATACGGAATACATTCACCTTTAAAGGCTTGGTTTTGATTTCTTGGTTTTGAGATTTATTTTTAATGCTCTTGTTTTTAAACTATTTTTGATGTTAAAACGTCCCAATATCCATTACTAAAGTGACAATTTTTAGCTATTTTTAACACATTGTTAAAGGCCTTACAAAGATAGTAATCATAGCCATAAAATTATGGAAATCCCAGCATTTGTGGGAAATTATATGTAGATTCAGAATATATACACCTTTAAAGGCTTAGAAATTTTGGTTCTGTGAGAAAATGAATTTTTTGGACCCTTGTTTTTCAGCTATTTTTGATGATGGTTAAAACGTCTCCTACATACATTAGTGTTCTTGTAAGACTACAATGGCTTATATTTTCCTATTTTGCGCTTTTTAATTAGTAAATAACAGCAGTTTTAATAAAATCGGAGACATAACGAAAATTGACAATTTTCATGACGACGATTTTTAAAGGCAGAAAGACAGTAATTGTAGCCATAAAATTATTAAAATTTCGGGATTGGTGGGATATTTGATGTAGATTCAGAATATTATAATATTATTATTAATTATTAATTATATGTATACACCCGTTTAACTGGTTTCATAGTATTTCTAGCTTTTTGGGGCCTCGGTTTTATTAAGTATTGTAAATTCCGGACTTGTCTCCGATTTTCTTTTTGCCAAAGGGTGTTTTTGCGTTTAGAACCACAAAATGTTGGTGCAGACCCTTTGGTGCGGCGGGAAACGTCCCCGTCCCGGCAACACCGGTCCTGCTCAAGCACTGGCGCTTCGCCTGCCTCCCGATTCGGCGCAAGACTATTTCGCAGGATACAGCCACGTAGCCGGTTTTGCGCTGGCGAGCCTGCTCCTGGGTCCGCGCTTCCTTTTTCGCTTTAAGATCCCACAGCCCTTAAAAACAACCACCTCCGAAATGTGTTAGAACGGCTGGCCTACGATCTAAGATGACACATACGCTTAGCGCCGCTGATTTCGCCCTCGCCAGCCAGCGACAACGCTCTCTTCGCCGGCTTCGCCGACTACCGCTTCGCATCGCTTTCAAATTAACCGACAGAGGCACAGCCAAACTTTCAAACTTCTGCCCGCTACACTCATAGACGTCACTCGCTCTATACGTTACTACACAGTAAGAACAGTCATTTTTTATGCTACTTCTCTCTTAATTGTTTTATTATATTTTTAATATATGTATATTTAGTTACTTTGATGTTATTTATTCTTTGTACAGGGTGAGACACCGATAAGGTAAAGTCCATTATCTCATTTGTTGCGAGATTTACAAAAAATGTTAAATATAAAATTTTAGGGAACAATTATAGGGAAGGTTAAGATACACATTTTAAATTATTGTAGAGTATACAGGGTGCTTCAAAAAAATGTGGCTATTTTTTGGAAAACTATATTTTTTTATCTAAATCGGTGACATGACGAAAATCTCCATTTTCATGAGTATATATAGTATTAGTATTGAAGAAAGTCGAAAAAAATGCCCATTTTTGGTTCTTTTTTACACACTTTCAAGGCGATCAGAATGATATTAATCATAGAGATAAAATTATGAAAATTTCAGCAATTGTAGGAAATGTTATGTAGATTCAGAATATATTCACTTTTAAAGGTTTATTTATCTTGGTTTTGTGAGAAAAATTTTTTTGGTCATTTGTTACTGTTCTCGTAAGACTACAGTGACCTCTATTTTCTTATTCTACGTTTTTTAGTTAGTAAATTACAGCAATTTTAACAAAATCGGTGACATGACGAAAACCGCCCAATTTGTAATTGAGTATGTGTGGAAAAAAGTCGAAAAACAGCGCACTTTCAAGGCGCCCAGAAAGAGATTAATCATAGAGATAAAATTATGAAAATTTCAATATTTGTAAGAAATTTTATGTAGGTTCAGAATACATTCACCTTTAAAGGCTTAGTTACTTTGTTTTTGTGAGAAAATTAATTTTCTGAACCCTTGTTTTTGATGATGGTTTAAACATACCCAACATCCATTACTCTTCTCGTAAGGCTACAATCGCCTATATTTTTTATTCTACGCCTTTTAATTAGAAGAAAATCGACAATTTTCATGACGATATGTATGGGAAGGCACATTTTCAAAGGCGTTAGGAAGACAGTAAATATAGTGATAAAAATATAAAATTTTCAGCCCTGGTAGGTAATTTTATGTATAAGTATTCAGAATATATACACATATTTGACTGGTTTATTGTCTTTATAATATGATTGTTATTTCTAAGTTTTGTAAGATAATTGCTGAAATGAAATCGTCAATTATTTTATATATATATGTGGAAATTGTATATTTATATCTATATATGTGTGAAAAACAATCGGAAAAATTATCATTTTTGGCAATTTTTTACTCGTTTTTAAAGGTCTTTACAAAGATAGTAAACATAGTCCTAAAATTATGAAAATATCAGTATTTGTAGGAAATTTTATGTAGATTCAGAATATATGCACCTTGAAATGCTTAAATTATTTGGTTTGCAGTAACAAATAGGAAATTTAAAAAAGTCACGGCTACTTTATATCTTTGAGGATTTTTTCCATTCCGGATTCCATTTAGGTTTATTTTTTTTTCGAAGAAAACGAGGTAAATAAAAATTTCTCTTTTAATTTAAAAAGGTGCATAAAGATCAAAGTTGAATTTTTATTCCTTCAAACGGAGCTCTTAGAATGGCACTAGATTAAACTCGGGCTTGGCAAAGTACCATTAAAAATATTAAAATGACCGTTAAAAGAAAAAAATAGACGCTTCTCTTTAAATATATTCATAGATTTCCTGCAAAATAAATTTTATCCTCCTCTTTTATAAAGAAATGTAGATATGAAATGTGGTAGACAGGTATTTTTTTATCATCTTTTTTCTGGGCCATAAATAAAATAAATGTTCTATTCTCTCCTTCGCATAAACAATCTAAACGTCAAATACACTACCCTTTTAAATATTAGAACACCGTATGTTCGTAAAAAAATACTGCCAAAAAGACATGAAATTGGAAGTATTAATTTATGATCCCAAAAAAAACACACCGCAAATTTTTTTGGTCAAGTTTAAAGTGTTAATTTTTTGTTTAATTTTAGCCCTATTTTCATAATTTTTTTAGCATACTGTATATAAATCTATCACTTTAATTCATAAACTCTTTTTTTTATAAACTTAAATATTTGGCTTAATATACAGCGCTAATTGAAGGGTTGTTTTTACCCTAACTTTAAAACACACTGTGCAATAATTTTGTCAGTAACTTTTCCTAAATCATTATTTTTCGATTAGAACCATGTCTCATGAGCATTTTATTTTTTGACTCATTTTTGATACATGTTTGTGGCAAGTTCATTTCGCTCTTAAAAATTAACCAAGCCATGTGTTGCCGTGAGTCAAAAAACAAAATATTCAGAAGACCTGGTTCTGACTGAAAAATAATGTTTTAGGAAAATTTCCGACGTTACAAGTATATTTTTACACCGAATAGAATATACTATTTTTCTAAAACAACAACAAATAATTTTTTAATCAATTTCAAACATTGCAAATAATATAAACAGTAATCGAGCAACAATTTGTACACTCGTTAAATTTGACACTTAATATCAGTTTAATAATATATTTTTGTACTTTTGTGCTTAGGCGTAACAGTGCTTCACTTTTATGCTAGGCGTTAAAATGACAAAAATTAATACTTTTGAGACGTTTGAAAAAAATCCTTTTGATCTGAAGCGAGCGACTTTTTTGCGAAATATATTGGTGACCGATGTGGAAAAATGTCAAACGCATCGTAGAATGTTTTCGATATCAAGCAGAGTTATAAAGATTTAACTATTTAGGACAGGACTTTCATTGGAAATAAGTCCTAGTCA